ACGGGGGTGCTGCGGCTGCCGCCGCTCCGAGAGGCGGCCGGGACGGAGACCTACCGGCGAGACGAGGGGAGCGGGGCGCAGGCTCCGCGTGCGGCCCTTCACCTCCGGCACCGCTTCCCGCCCCGCCCCGCCCCTGCCGCGGGGGCTCGGAAGCGGGGCTGGCCGGGGGGGCGCTCCGGGGCGGAGGGAGAGAGGGAGGCAGAGAGACCGGCGGCGGCGGCGGCGCTCGGAGCGGACGCCCCTCCCCAGCGCGGCTCAGGCGCTGCGGGCGGGACGCGCCGCGGGCGGGACGCGCCGCTCGCTCTCTCGCGGGTGATTGACAGGGAGCACCGGCAAATGGAGGGGCGGGGAGAGCCGGGGAGGGGGCGGGGCTTGCGGGTGGGCAGAGCGGACAGCCACTGAGGGCCGGGGGGGCGGGGCAGCGCGAGGGGGCGGGGCCGGCCCGGGGCGCTGTGAGGGGTCCGTTCGCGCCTCGGGCACAGGGCGGAGATCGCCCGCCCGCCCCCGGCCCCGCCGCTGCCCGCGAAACTGAGCCCTCCACGGCAAAGGAGCTGCGCGCCTCGCTCGCCTCAAGCCTCTCCTTAGTAGCGGCAAAGGTACTTGTTTAAAATGAGAAGGGTTGGCTTGCAGGGATTGCCCCGTGCCCGGCGGCGGCTGAGCCAATGCCAGACCGCAGCCGCGGGGCGCTTGGAAGCGCATCTCTCTTTAGTCCTCTACTGGGTACCGGTCCCCGAAATGCCGGCATCCTTCGGCGCCTGGCAGTTCTCAAAAGTGCTACTGTCCGTCTTGTGGTCCCCGGATTTGGCAGCACCGCTCGTTTGGCGCTGTAGTTAAAGGTGGGTGAGGTTACGCCCTGCTAGTTGCACTTGGCATCCTGCATTCCCCGTGTATCCCTGCAGGAAACCGGGAAATCAGAACCCCACTCTTACTGATGCCTGCGAGAGGTACTGTATTGAAAAAAATACACTTACAAACTCTAGAAAATAGACTGCGTGCCAACGCTCGTGCTAAACAAAAGATCTTTAGGCCCTTTTCCTGTTCTCCAGTCAGGATGGAGTAGCATTTAGGCCACTAAGGTCTAAGGCTTTAAGTAAAAGAATTATTTTTTTTTTCCATTTGATGCCTTAGAAACAGCTTTAAAAGTTTATTAAGAGCTTGTTGTGCAGTCATATGGAGGAAAGAGTATGCAAAGGATAAGTGTTGCAGCTTCTGACAGATCTTGGAGTATTGCTTGTTGAAATAATTTTTTAGGTAAAGTTTACATCTTCCAGAACATTCCAGAAATCCTTGCAGAACAAGGAATTAGAAGCAATATAGATGCAAGAGACTTTCAGAAGTCATTTGCTCAAGCTTCATTCCATTGTCTCAGTAGACACTGAATTACTTTTGCCAAAAGTTCTCCATAGACAATCTATGCTGTTACTCCCATTAAGAGAGATTTTGCTGATATTTAACTGTGATCTTGCAATTTAGGTCCATTGATTATTGCCCTGTATTTGTGCCAAGTACTTCACAGTGTGCTTATATATAAGGCAGGCCTTGGGAATGTCTTGTCATTCATTCTCAGGAATGTGTAACTCCCCACTTACCCTGTGGAGCATAAATTCACTTTCAGGACTTCTAAGTTTCCTCCAGCAGTTCACCTGATGTTCTCTAGCATCATACAGGATGCAGTCTGAGGACAATACAGAGAGGTTTGTGCTGTTTTGCTTAAAAAGTTTCCCTTCTGTAAAAGATGGTTTCGTCAAAGAGGAGGGAGCATATACTTAGTTCCAGTTAGTATTGCAGGATCCTGACAGACACAAGCGTTGCCATCTCACAACCAACTAAAGCAGAGACAAAGACAAGTCTTGCATTACCGTGATTCCAGATTCATTTTGTGAAATCTGTCCTTGAATTTTCCATCAACTGGAAATGTGTGATCAGTGGACACATTTTCACGGGTACTAATATTGTGTTTCCCCAGCTTTTCTAAATAGGTGGTCATAACCTCACAAGTGGAGGCTTATTTTTTATGCAAAAGCTGTAGGATATTTTTCCACTTAAGTTATAAATTCTGACTTTAAAAAAAAAAAAATCATTAGCCTTTAGTTCAACTCAACAAATTACCTAATAACCTGTAATTCTAAGATTTATGTGAAGAACATAAGGCAAAAGGAAAAGAAGGCTTACACATCTTAGAATTTTAAATAAAAATGCATCACTTTGGGATAGTTAGAATTACAGTCAGGCTGCAGTGGTAAAGAAAGTGGATGATTGCTACATTTAAAACATCTTTCCAGACCTAACCATTAAGAGCAACGGAGACATACCAGTATGCAGTATGTCAAGTACATAAAATAGGAAAAAACACTGTGGCTTCAACTCTCTAACGTTGTGATGGTTTAATCCCAAACAGCAACCAAGCCCCACACAGCCACTCGCTCACTCCCCCACCAGCAAGACTGGGGAAAGAATCAGAAGGATAAAAGCCAGAAAACTCTTGCTTTGCGATAAAGACAGATAATAGCAAAAGCAAAAGTCATGCACACAACCAAAGCAAAACAGAAATCATTTCACTGCTTCCCCTGGGCAGGCGGGTATTCAGTCTCTCCAAGATGGCAGGGCCCCATCATGTGTAATGTGACTCCGGAAGGCAAACACCATCACTCCAAACATCCCACTCTTTTTTCTTCTTCCACCAGGTTAATATGCTGAGCATGACAACATGTGATAGGGAATATCCCTGTGGTCGGCTGGGGTCAGCTGTCCTGGCTGTATCCCCTCCCAACTCCTTGTGCACCCACAGCATACTTGTCAGTGAGAGACAGGAAACCAAACAGCCATGAGCAACAGACAGAGAAGGCCTTGATTCCTTGTAAGCACTTCTCAGCATTAACTAAAATATATATATGTCGTCAACACTGTTTCCAGCACAAATGCAAAACACAGCCCCATACTAGATACTATGAAGAAAATTTAATCCGTCCCAGATAAAACCACCATGTGACCACCACAAAATGTGAGGCACTTTGCGATGAACATGCATGGATGCTGTTTCGAGTGAAGGAGAAAGTACTTCTGGTGTTTAATCTTAGACTGAGTATTACTGCTTTCATGGAATCCTTTGAAAATTCCTGCACACGCAACAAAGTAACAGAGTTTGCCAGATACCATACCACTTAACTTTCCAAAACTTTTTTTTTAAAGTACTTTGTTATAAAAGTGATGTGATATTTCATTCCCTGTAATATTTCAATTTTCATTTTAGTATTCCTCATTTTGCATTATTTCAACAGCTGTTTCTGATAGCCTCCACAATTTCATTTGTGCTGTGTTTTTCTAATGAACTTAGTCCTGCTAGCCATATTAAAATATTTAATTACTAGATATTAATAAATAAAGTACTTGCACTAGAAACCCAGAGGCATGACAGCTGGCTTTATAGTATTATAGTTCAGCTTTCCCTTTTACAACTTAAAAGCTCTTCCAGCTTGTTAAGATCTTCATTCATTTCACACATGTGGAAGAAATAATCTTCCTTCCTTCCATCCTATGTTTTAAACTCATATCCGTTTCTGAATAATGCTCTTTTCTCCACTGTCATATGATTTGAGCCAGTCAAGCTCATTTAGAATAACTACTCTAACTGTTGTATCTCAATCACAGTCCCCTCGAATTTCTTCCATTCAGGATCCTGTAACTTAATCTATGTGCCTAAGAAGATCTCAACACCTAAAAATAGAGCTAAACAGGCAGTAATATAAGCGGCTGCAGTAAATTAATTCTTTCTTATGGATCATCCAAATTCTGTTTGACTACTCTTTAGCTTAAGTTCTTTTTGTTCTGGACTAAAATTTCCCAATGTGTGATGCAAAAATTACTGCAATATAGTAAACTGCAGCGTCATAAGCCAGCACTTAGCCAACTTAGCCCCATTTGGAGAAGCAGTGGAGGGAATTTGTTCCTGGCTGCTGTAAATGTGTGCCTGCAAACAGAGAAAACAAACAACACTGAGTACCTTCCATTTGTTCTAAAGTTCATGCAGTTTGGCAACATGCTGATGTGAGGGAGAAAACCTTACCTGGCTGGACTTAGCAGTATCCATTGCAGATTGGAGTTAAAGTCCACTTGTAAGTTCCAAAATTTTAGTACCACAAGGAGCATTTTATAGTCCCCTTCTGAAGGTAGAGAGCACAACCAGGAACTCAAATTTGTTAATACCACATGAGAAAAATGTGGAGCTTGTGCTGTTCCTGGTGTAGTGCTGTCACTGCTAAGGATGATGGCAAAAAGCATTCCCAGTTTGAGAATCTTGTGATAGGTCAACCTCACACATCATACAACAATAAGAAATTGACAGAATGTCAATTGCCTTAAATTTAAAAAAACCCCAACCAACCAACCAACCAAACAAACAAACAAAAACCTTTGGCTGCTTGTGTCATCTGGCCTACATACAAAGATTGTACTACTTTCTCTTCACAATCCTGAAATTTTTGGTTGAACTGACTTCTCAGGAGTTTGCTGGTCTCCATTTTTCTTCAGAAGGATTCCCTGTAACCTGGGAGGAATACTCTTACATGAAGGAAAGATGTGAAAAAGTGCTGTGGTCAGGTTGATCCCCTCCATGCGACTGCACAAAAATGAGCTTTTAAAAGCTGGTGGAAATCAGAATTGAAAGAAAAAACAAAACAAAGCAACAAACCAAAAGAAAAAAATAAGTAGAAGCAAGAAAAGGATATGTTGAACTCTACTGCGTGAATATCTGTTTCTGTACAACTGGGGAATTAGCCTGTTAAATTCTATAATATAAAAAAATTAGTTATATCAAGAGAAAGTACTGAAAAGGCCACATGCATGAGAACCACTTGATGACGTACAGAAACACAGGCACTTTGGCAGAATGCTAGAATTCTCGAGTTTGAGATAGCGATCAGCAGTTTGATTTTTGATCTAAGGCTGCTTAATGTACAGAAGAGGATTTTGTTTGTTTTAAGCATTTAATCATAGACCTGCTTCAACCAATGGTAATCACTTTGTCCTTTATCCAAGAGGTTGTACAGAAGTTACATATCTTTTCATATAAGTAAAAGGGATCATCAAAGCTCAAAGTTTAGGGAAAAGAAAAAATGGACGTAGAAAGTTTTCTGCAAAATTTTTAAGAGGCATCTGAA